AGCTTTAAAAAATAGCCGTTTTCGTGAATTACACGGGAGAAACTGTAAATCAACGGCTTCTTATGGCCACCGATTATTTTATGGCATAAAGAACGCACGGTACTTTTCAGCATAATAATTTTTTTGAATTTTTACACCTCATTATTTAACCAAATAAACTATATGTATTCCGAAAAAATATGTTTTTAATAAGAAGATTTTTGTTCTGAGATGTATCAGGAATATGTGTAAAATTTCTAACTTAAAATGTTTCACATTACATATCAACACACTACGGTGTTTTATTTAGTAAGTCTCGGGCGAAGCCGAAACGGGGGGCTGCTAGTATATAAATATATATGGTTACACGATAAGTCCGCCCGTCTCGGAGTCTGCGTCCACACATGTACGTCCGTCTTGCTCGATCGCCCGTTGGCTTTCTTTCTTATTAACGTGAATATGCATGTGTACCCCGCGCATAAATAATTTACGTGGCGCGCGTGGGTGCGGCTGTCCGCCGTCCGATATGAATGCTCGAGTACGTACACACACACACACGCACGCATACCTGAATGTCAAAAGTTACCTCGGCACGTGGCCCTTTTACTGTCCACTGTGAGTATATATGTATAACATGGGCGACGGGCGACGCCTCCCACGCGCGCGTGATCTCCTTTTTTCTACCGTGCATGTACAAGTACTGCAAAACAGATGCAAACGGAGAAGGACGAAGAGCCAACACCGGCGGAGACGCTTTCATTTTTGGCGCGCCCTGAAGCTGCGCTTATCGTCATAATACGTGGGCGGAGCCGCCGGAGCAGTTTCTTTGTTCTGGATTTGTTTATGGGCGCTTGTACGGAGTACTTGCTTGGTGTGTGCTGCACGTATATATTATATCTGTGTGCACCGATATTGTCGAGTTAGCGCGTGCAATACCTTTTTTTGTATACCGATTCTGGGTGTATAGGTATATGTATACAGCAGTTGCAGATGGAGGGAAGTTCCGGAAAAGAGAAGTTTTTTCTTAAGCCCCATAACTTTTGCAGTCACAAAAAACGTAAATAGTTGGGGGTAATTTTTTTTAAGCATAGCGAATTGGGGTGCCTTCGAAATGACACGTGACATAATGTATTTTCGATCTTATGAAAAATATGGTGCGTAATATTTATAGGGTATGTTATTGAG